CACACCTGCAAGCAAAGCAAAATGAGGGATTCATTCAGCACTTCCCATCGCAGGCAGGTGCTCAGCCATCTCCAGGGAAGCTCCATCACATGTAACGGTGACTTGGGAAGACAAATGTCATCACTCCAAACATCCCCCCTTCCTTCTTCCCCCAGCTTTATGTGCTGATCATGACGTGATATGGTCTGGGATATCCCTTTGGGCAGTTGGGATCAGCTGTCCTGGCTGTGTCCCCTCCCAGCTTCTTGTGCACCCCCAGCCTCCCCGCTGGTGGGTAGAGGCAGAAATGGCCCTGACTGTGTGTAAGTCCTGCTCAGCAGTAATTGAAACATGTTGGTGTTATCAACACTCTTCTAAGCACAAATCCAAAACACAGCCCCATACCAGTTACTGTGAAGACAATTAACTCAATCCCAAACAAAACCAGCACAGATGCCCAGACTGGTTGGCAACGGTCAGATGGAGAAAAGCCGGGAGCACTGGGACAGCACAGCTCCCTGTGGACTTAAAGCTAAAGCTGTTCCTCAAGCTCTTCGCAAGCAAGTTTTCTGTTGAAGTCACAACAAGTCAAGCTTGCCCCTGTCCTTGGTGGAAATGCATTTATTGCCTGGCTTTGGCCTCTATGCAGATCTGGCTGAACAAGGACCAGGTCCTGCTTGGACCACCCACCTCAGCTGTGAGGGATGGCTGCACAGCACAGCATGGCCCAACCTGACCACATGGGTCTTCCTGCCAGCGCTCCTGCTGCCCAGCTCCAAGCAAGCTGGTGCCCTCACACAGCATCATAAGGTTATTTATTACCAAAGGAGCTGACCTGTGTGCACCAGTCACGCCATTTCCATTTGATTTGCATATGCTGAAGGAACATGGGCATGTACATCTGCATATACCTAAGTTTCACTGGGACATTTTGGGGTGAGATAGTCTCTTGCTGTGGTGGGTCCCGGGACTGATCTGCTCAAGGTGTCTGGTTTTACTGAAGGCAGTAATCCCTCAGGATACCAAGCCTGGCAGAATGGCCATGGGTTGGGGCTGGGTGACCAGGGAGCTGTTATTGTGAGCAATCAGTAGATGAACGTTACCGGTTTAGGTTTTGGCTCCTGGGGCAGTTTGGTCACCCAGAGACACTGACAGTGTCTCCTGTTAAGATTCTCCACAACAAAACTGACCTGCAGTTTTAGAAATGTGCTTTCTCAACAAATGTTCACATCTTGCTTTCTCTTCTAGTGTAGTGGAAAAGCTTTGTCATCTTAACGGGATGTGAGTATTCGTCTGTGTCTTTCTAAGAACTGAGCAGAAATGTTCTTTTGGGTCTTCGTTGCCACATCTGTCTCCTGTCACCCGTTACGGGGAAGGTGATGGCCAGGCACCATTTCTAGTGTAATACTTCTGTGCATAACACTTCTCTTGGGTCTCAGCCTCCCCTTTGTCCTCAGCTGTTGCCTCTGGCTTCATGTCCTCTGCTTCCTGTGTCCACCAGACACACTGGAATAATAAAAACAACAAATACCTAGAGCTGTGCATGGATATTAGAATAATGATGTTCTGACTATAGCAATGAGTTTATTTTTGTTCACAGCCAGGCTTTCCCAGGGTTTTCATTAAAAATATTTACTTGTATATACAATGCACAAAATATTCAGTAATAACCACACTGTGGTTTCAGGATGAGGTTCTGTTAGTGGTTACCAAATTCTGAAACCTTTGACACCATTGCTCTTGTGTTGGTCTGAATCCAGAGAAAACCCCCTGCAAGTCACCCTTCTCTTGGGTCCCAGCCTCCCCTTTGCCTTCATCTGCTGCCTCTGGCTTCGTGCCTTCTGCTTCTTGTGTTCGTTCACCAGCCTCATCTCCAGTGGGTGCTCCCTCTGCACCCTGCGAGGATTTTTCTGGGAGAGATGAGCACCATGATTAGCCCCTGAGACCCCAGCATGAGCACCAGGGCATCCCAGGGCTCCTCCAAGGGCTGTATCATGTTGGGGTCTTCTTGCATCACCCAGCTCCAGCAGCAAGGTCAGCCCCACACAGCTGCATCAGCGTACACAGCAAATACATCCCCTGCTCTGGGCAGGGCAATCCCTGGGTGAAGATTTGAGGTGATAATGACATGGGCACTGCAGCCCCTGCCTGGCCCTGCTCTGGGCCACCTTCCCACACTCGGAATCACACAGAATTGCCTCAGTTGGAAAAGACCTTTAAGATCATCAAGTCCCATCATTAACCCAACACTGACAAGTCCCCTATGACTAACCCATGTCCCTCAGCACTATGTCTACACGACTCTTCAATCCCTCCAGGGATGGGGACTCCACCACTGCCCTGGGCAACCCCTTCCAATGCCTCAGAACCCTTTCAGCAAAGAAATTCTTCCTCACATCCCATCTCAACTGCCCTTGGTGCAACTTGAGCCCATTTCCTCTTGTCCTGTCCCTTGGTCCTTGGTTGAACAGACCCACCCCCACCTCTCTCCATCCTCCTCCGAGGGACTTGGACAGAGCCAGAAGGTCTCCCCTCAGCCTCCTTTTCTCCAGGCTCAACACCCCCAGTTCCCTCAGCTGGGAACTCAGCACACTTGTGCTCCTTTGCCCTTCTCTGGACACTCTTCTCCTCCTCCTCTGGAAAATGTGGTGGCTCTGAAGAGCACCAGGGATGCTTTCTCCATGCACACACATGGGCCTTGGAGGCAGCTGCTGGCTTGCTGAAAGCTGCTGCCTGCCTTTGCCTCGCTGGAGCGGGTTTTGTTCACACCTCTGTGCCTGGGGGTGTGGATTAACAAGCGTGCTGTACTCCTTGTGTGCACTTTGAGGGCTCCTCTGAGCTGTCACGCGTAGGTGGGTGTAAGATCAAGGAAGACATGAGCAATTCAGGACACCCTGCAGGCTCCTGGAATAGCGGTGAGGAGTTAGCTGAGGTACCCAGGGTAGGTGGCTGCTGTGGGTGGCTTGAACGTGACCTGGGTTGTTAAGCGTGTTGGCGCGTGGGGTTATTTGCAACAGGCTCAGACGGGGCAGGGGCTGGATGGTGCTCCCCAGATGACCCTGCACTGTCCTTTAAGAAGAAACCCTGAGGCTGCAGGACTGGTGCCAGTTACACAGGGACAAATGAAGCTTGTATCCAACAGGGACTGTGGAGGCTCAAGCCATTTTGGGATGACCCCCTGCTCCTTCTGTTCCCTGAAGCAAGGACAGCTCTGGGCACCCAGCTTTGTGCCAATCTCAGTCCTCAGGGTGAAGCTACTGGACTCCAACACTCAGATACGGGGCAGGCTGGTACACAACAGACAAGATGTCCTCACCTCTGGCATGGCCATCATGAACCTGGCTCCCGGAGCCCGGGCAGTCAGGGCTGTGATGAAAGCCACTGTCCTCACCTGCAGGAGCAGCTCCTTGTCACCAAGGCACAGCTATCTTCATGGTGATGCCCACCCGAACCTCCCAGCCATGGGCTCCCTCCCAGCACCTCCTTGGGGAAGGGGGCTCGGGTCCCGCTGGCTGGCACAGCTCTTCCTTTCACCCCAACTCCTGCCCAGATGCTATTTTAAACTGTAGCAGGATGACTGATGGAGTGCAAGCCACCCCATGGGCTGAGGAGCCTGGGGGCTGCAGGTCCTGAAGTAACGAGGCTCCTGACATAACTGATATGCTCCTTCCTCCCCCAAGCTCTCCCACATCCCTTCCATCCCTTCCAGCCCTACCTGAGGCTCCTTTCACCCCACGACTCCCACCCAGCCTCTGCCTTCTGTCTTCCCATCTTCACCCCTCCCCAGAAGCCCCCTTCCTGCCTTGTTGCCCTGTGTCTCACTGACATCCATGCCTGTCCTCCCAAATTCAGTGTGTGAACACTGTGGGGTGAGCTGAGCGCAGGCAGGTCTCTGAGCAGAGCCTTTTTCCTTGGGCTGCCCTATAGGCACCAGAGATTGGGGCAAGAGGAACCCAAACCCTTGTTGTTTATCCAACGGTTCATGTCCAGAGATGATCAGAGCAACCTAAATGCCATCGGTGGTGTGGTCTCCTTCTCCTTCAGCTCTGGTGGGAGACCAGCCCCAGGGCAGCAGTGGAGATGTCTCCTCGCAGGGACCCTGGTGCTGGGGTCTGGCAGGGCGATTGCAGGGGGACACACAGGCATCTCCAGAGATGGGCAGGTTTTGAAGACATGGAGAAAAAAAACCCTTTTCTCATAAGGGGGACACATCTGCTAAACCTCATGTCCCAGCTAAAGGAGAGTTAGTGAAAGAGTTCTTAAAATCTTGTAGTGAAAGGTATTTTTTCCATCCTCAGCTCTGGGAATAGCTGATCCATTTTAGCTGCAGCGCCCAGAAAACTTTCACTGAAACAGGCGACGTGTAAAATTTCAGCCCCTAAAGGTAACGTTTTAATTGACTCTAATGGGGCTGGCAATGTCATTTAACTGGCTGCCAGTCATCATAATGAGCAGTGATTAAATACCTTCTAAAAAGAGTGAGCCGAGCTACCTGAATGTGATCTATGCCCTTGTCACTCCTCCTCCTTCATGGTTTTTCTCTTCTTATCTTGCAAAATGGGATGTTCAGATGGGAAAAGCTTTTATGGGAGTTTTGACAGTGTAGAAAAGGGAATAAAGGACACTATTGCAACTTCAGCTGCTGTCATCGCAGAGAATTGTAATAGAGGCAAAGACTGATATTTCTTACAAAAATATTTATTTCTCAGAATTTGAATTAAATATTGCATAAAAAATACAATTAATTAAATACAGAAAATATAACCTGAGCATAAGTCTTCATTTAAAAAAATATATCTATTAAATACTCTTCTTATTTGTCTGGAGTGGAGTTATTGCACCTGATCCCTCCCCGATAAAAACTAAATAGCAAAACACTAAAGTCAGATTCTGGAACATTTTCAACTGCTCAAGCAGCTTTAAGTGACGTGGAAGCATTTCCGATGGAGCCCACAGCTGGCCATGGCTCATCCGTCCTGGCAGATGGGGGGGCACAGGGTGGCAGGGTCTGTCCTGGGACCTCAGTTCAGCTCCAGGTCGGCCATGTACTGCTGGACCCAGTCCTGCTCGGGGTTGGCGCAGACTTGGCGGCCCTTCCTCGTGACAAACCTGTGGGGTGCAGAGAGGCAAGTTAAAGAGAGAGAGCGATGGAGGGGACCCCTGCCCCAAACCCAGCCTCTCCTGAGGATCAGCAGAACTTGGACATGCAGCACATCAGGCCCATCATGTCAGCAGTGGTGGAGCAGGATGTGAGCCCCCCGTGAGCTGAGCCCACGGAGCATCACCTTGCACCTCCTGTCCCCCCATCCCTCCCCTCCCCTGGCACCAGCCTACATCCCCTGGCTTTTGAAAAAGGATCTTTCCCTCTCTGGATCCTCAGCCCAAAAGGAGAGCCCACCACCACCCCAGGGCAGAGGACTTACACGACGGCTGCCTGGGAGCACAGGCTGTTGGTCTCGTAGTACTCCACCACGAAGCTGCGGGGCAGCTGCCGGGAGGTGTAGGTGAAACAGCAGGAGGTCGGCGGGTCGGAGCCAACTGTCAAGGGCAAAGACGGTCATCAGCAGTGGCAAGGGATGGGGAGCAGGGGCAGGGAGGTGGGACCACAGACCCTCGGGTCTGGGGAGCAGGGGCAGGGAGGTGGGACCACAGATCCTCGGGTCTGGGGAGCAGGAGGATGTGGAGGAGGAAGAGAAAAGATTAAGTCTTTTTTTTGATTCCTTAAATTATTTCTCCTCTGGGTTCACCCTGAGCTGGCACTGACAAGGCCCATGCTGTGCTTTGAGCTGTGTGTCTCCCATGGCAGGAGAGCCCCAGTGGCCCTGGAGCACCTGCCAGAGGGTGACCTGACACAGAAAGGACCCAGGGGTGGAAAGGCTGGCAGAAGGGACCCTGTCCCAGCAGTGACATCTCTCCTGTCCCCATTTAGAGAACATGGGGAGAGCCCGGACTTACTTGGCGCAGCAGAAGTCTGGTAGCAGAAGGCGGCGACGAGAACAGCGAGGGCAGCCACAGAGACCTTCATGTCAGCTGAGAAGCGGTGGCTGGAGCTGAAGCAGGCAAGTGGAGCTTGAAAGCCTCTTTTCGGTCTGGTGCCGAGACAGCCAACAGCTTCCCAATTTATGGGGTGAGGAGGTCTGGGCAGTGGCTTGCGTAGGCATGGTGGAATTTCCCCCAAAGAGGCTGCTCGTGGTGCAGTTTCGTGGTGGAACGGAGCAGCAGCCCCAGCCCCGGAAGGGTGAAACTCCCCCCTCCATTCAGAGCCTCCCCAGTGACACAGGATATGAAACAGTCACCATGGCTATTTCTGCTTCTTTCATGCATGGCCCTTAGTAAGAAGTTCCCCTGTGGAGGTTCCTGCATTTGTCAACAGGCCCCTGTTACCCAACGTGACCAAGCAGCTTGGAGGTGAGAGTGCATCCTTCCAAGAGCTGTGCGAGTGGGCTGAGGACCTGGGACGGGATGAGGCTGCTCAGGGAATAAGGGGCTGAAACCTCCTCTACCCTGGACTGTTTCTCTGCTGCATCTGCACAGCCTGTGCTGCCCCAGTAGCAGGAGATGGGAGCTGGCAGCAGTGGGCTCCATGTCCTGTACGGGTTTCACACAGTCTGAGGGGACTCAGGCAAGTCCTGCAGCCATGACAGCACTGCAGGCACCAGCACAGGTAGTGGTAGGCATGAAATGAGTGTCCCAGAAGCTGAAGCACTTGAGTTTCCTGTTCAATTTAAGGGAAGAGCTGAGATGGGGTGTTATCTCCTGGAGGTGTCTGCCACACCCCAGGTCCTATAAAGAGACCCTAAATGACCAGTTTAGGTTAGACACTTAAATTTCAATGGCTACTGATATGTGAGGCCTGTCATTGCTGGGCATAGAGATGCAGAGGGCCAAGGATGGAGACAGTGACTGTGACCCTGAAGATGAGGCAGGAGGGTCTCCAGGAGCAGAGTGAGGAAGAAAGCGCTCCTTCTGACGACCAGGAACAGATTACCTGGAGGACAAGGACAGAAACTGTGATTTCTGGCAAGAAAAAGGTACCTGGTCTCAGTAGAAAAGATAAAATTGTAGTGATCTGATGTGGTTTAACCTAACAAGGAGGAATGACCGTGTTGTATGGAGAGAGGAAGAGCTCACAGCTCTCCGAGGGCTGGGCAAGGGCTGTGACCAGGGATGGTTCACTGAGAAGAAGTCACCAGCCTACTTATGAACTGCTACGGGGGTCTATCAAACACTTCTCAGTCCCTGAGGAGGAGAGGGAAGGGCTGGCAGGGAGGTGATCGATGCTCTGGGAAGACCTGAGGGCTGTCCATCCGTAACAAGTTGTTCTAGAAGGACATCTCATCAGGGAAGTAGACACATTTCACAGAAATATGTTCATTTCATTATTTTCAAGACATCACTGAATGGTCATGTCTTGGCAGATGCTGCCTGAAAATCAGTGGAAGGTCTATAACATAAAGCAAGAGCAACCCAACTGCAGCACCAGCACCTCAGTGCTGGGTGCTGACTCGCCGTGTTTCTGTTAAAGGCTCCTGGCTGTTGACCCAGGCGTCTTCTGTAGATAACCTGGTGTTTTCCAAATGTCACCCCAACACTATACGGTGTGCACAGCCCTCTCCTCCTATCAGCTGCGGCACGTTAGTTCCATGCAGGTCAACTGCTCTGCTCCATGCAGGCAGAGAGGGGTCTGGAGGACAGTGTGATCCTGGACTTGCACAGGAGAAGTCCCCAGAGGTGGTCTACCCTCAAGGAGGCTCCTGCTGGGAGCCGTGGTGGTCCACGTGCCCCTTACCCTGCCTTGGGAGGGCAGATCTATCCCATGGAGCAAAGGTGGTGCTTGCCAAGCCAGGCATCACCTCCTTCCTGGCCACACCATGGCCAAGCTGGTCCCCTCTCCATCCTTCCCTTTGCCATCTGTGGAGAGAGGCACTTTGCAGGCTCACCCATCAGCTTAAACCCCATTCCTGCCTTCACTTGTCAGCTTGTCCATCCACAATGATCCTGGGAGGATGAGGACAGAGCCTGTCTCCTCAGGCAGGGAGCCCAGCCAGGCAGGAGGTGGGAACCCGGTGTTGAGCCGGGCGCCAGCTGGACCAGAAATCGTCTCCAAGCTCGCGTCGGCTTCCTTGGCTCCTCTGTCTGGTTGCTCAGGGAATATAACTCGTAGACGTACGTAAGAGCGTGGTTTGTCACTGAGCTGTTCCCTGTGATTGTACCTTCAAGCATTTATGGGTCATGTCCTGAGATCTGCCACCTACAACCATCTGGTCCTGTCCTACTCCCAAGGCACACGATGTGGGTTGGGCAGGCAGGCAAAACACCATTTATGGTGCAGAAATGTTCTGATAAAAAGCAACTTTCATTGAAACAGAAGAGTTAGTTGGAAACCTACATTGATTATTCAAATGTTTTCAATGAGATATTTTTCCTTTGAGGCAGCTGAAAACCTCCAAGCCTTTATATCACTGTTGGCAAGAGGGTGCCAAATAATTTCAGACTGCCAGGGACCATTTTTTAATGAATCAAAAATAATTTCCTTAGTTTAGCTGAGTCAGATTAAGATCAGTTTAGCCTGGATAATGTGTGTTACAAGATCCAGGTAAAGGCTGAAACTTTTCTGATGTTGAAAGCCAAAAATAACCCCAAAGACAGGGTGTTTGCTTCCTAGGGGTCCAGTTTTTCCTTAGAAATCTGACAACCCCCCCACTCTGCCAGCTCTTTGCGGGCGGGTAGAGGTGGGAGGTTATAGTCATATCAGTGATGCCCTGGGATGTTGCAATATGCTCCTAAAAAACGTTTCCATACCCACTCACCCGCATTCCAGTCATGATGAAATGAGAAAGTACTTTCTTCTCACTCTTCCCCCTTTTAGAAAGAGAGGATGCTGTGTGTCTCAGATGGAGGGCTATC